TTTTAACCGGTCCTTGATGGAGGGAAACACCCCCATCGAGGACCGGTTTTGCCTGGATGACAGGGTGACCCCTTCAAGGACTGGTTGAAATCAGTCCTTGATGGGGGTGTTTATCATCCATGGGAGATGTACTTCCAGTCCCATGGATGACTGGGTGTATTGATGGGGCGTGTAGAGTCCAAGGGGTTGAGACGAGGTCACAAACCCCTTGGATACATGGCTAATTTGGCGGATCAGTGCCATGTTTGGCGGTCCAGGAGCAATCATGTCGGTTCAGGAGCATGGGTGGCCAATTTGGCGGTTAGATTCAATGTTCACTTTGGCCATTCTGGCGGTTCAGGGCCGTCATTTGGCGGTTATTTGGCCAAAGTGGCGGTTCATCCCCATGTTTTCATTTTTTTTGGCCAAAATGGCTGTTCAGTACCTCCATACTGTTCAGTACCTCCATATGATATTGATAAACATTTCACATAAAAAAAAATAAGAAAAAAAAAATACTTACAATGAATGAATATCCTCAACATGTTTTTTGTGCTGTTGAACCTGTTTAGCCTGGCTTCCCGGGTGTCCGTAATCAGTCTTGAATTTGATGAAGTAGTCGACTGTGTTTATAATCATTTCCGGTTATCTTGCTGTGTTGAAAGTAAAGGGAAACTAGGTGAACTGGGCCCTCTGCACAAGACAGAGAGTTGGCAGATAAGCGAGTTCCATGGATGGCACTGTTGGAATTGCTCTTGAGCAGTCCAAATCAAAATCAGCTGCCCTGTACGCCTTGCATGACCGCTCTTCTGGCATCTTAATAATTGGCTGGCTTGGTTGTGTTGGTTTACACCCTGCCAGCTTGTTGTCCGTCCCAGTTCCATCAAACTATAGCAACGGAGCCATAGTAAGACCATCAAATCCTTTGTTATTCCAGTATACAGCAGCACAATGGAGGAGACGATGGAACTCGGAGATCACTGCCCACCTCAACTCACCCAGGTAGCTACATAATCAACATAGGCTGAACCATCATAAGATTTTAGCCGAAATTTATCATCCAGCTGACTCTCAAATCTTTCACTGTTTTCAGTGTTATTAGCTATCTCATCACAGGAATTATCGCCAATGGCTCACTCAACCTGCAAGATTCAGGACGCTGCCACTGAAGATATCCTCTCAACAAACATCAAAGCCAACAGGCACTGGAACCTGCGCGCGGGACTTGCACTCGATCTCGAGAATACCATCAAGGAGTTATTTCTTCAAATTCCGCATCCGATTTTTGACCATTGGGCAAGGCTGACGATGCCTGACCAAGAGCTCCTCAGCTGCTATCAAGAAGCAAGCGCCTTCGATCCTCTCCAGACACAGGCTGTCTTGACCGAGTGGTTCCCCCAGGAAGGCGATTGGGACCTCTTCTTTCTCGTGCTCGAGGTACTCAAATCGACCCATCGGTACTGGACCAGAGACGATATTCCTATCAGCTTTGCTGGGTGAACGCTTGCAGACGCGATAACTCTTTTGCAACTCGATCTCAAACCACATCCCACTTCACACTGTTCCTCAAGCACTTGGGATCTTCCCAAGAAGCAACTCGCACAACATCTCGTCACTAAAATGGACAAAATGAGGAAGTCGCAAGGATATTCATCACTGATATTTGATGCCGAGTACGTTAGACCTTTCTGTCATCATTCTCCAATCAATCACCAACTGAACACCTTTCTATTGCTCGCCAGATGAGAAATTTAGCCGTCATGCTCCTCTCAGACTCCAGTCCGCAATGCGCGTCTCCATCCCAATCCAAGAGTTCTGCTCGACCCCTTACGGCTATTTGAAGCTCTACCCTCCCCAAGCTCGAAATCAATCTTTCTTGAAATGATTTAGACAGGTTAAATAATTATAATGAGTCATTGTGGTCCTATCATGAATCCATCTATCTACGAGAATATATATTTTTTGGAAAGAAAAAAAAATGGATTAAGATGCATTTATAAGGTCCTAAGAATTTAAATCCTGGGGGGGATTGAACGCCTGTGAGGATAATCAAAGAGCTAGTTTACTTTAAGCTGGCATTAATCAAAGCCCGATGGTCAGGAAAGATGAGGGTATGGTCCTCAGAGTCAGACAGATGCTTGAGGGCGTTGGCGGCCAAGAATCTGAGCTCCAACATTTCACTATGGTCAGTCAAGATTCGGGGAGTTTGATCAAGATGCCAGTGGGCTGTATGATGGAGAAGGAGCAGAGCAGCGGTTTTTGTCTGGAAGGAAACCGGCGTTCGAGGGCTCAGGATTTCGCGAAGTTGCTTGATTAATGTTTGAGGTCTGGCAGATGGGCTCTTGACATCGGAGACCACTCTAGATATTGGGACTGCCGTTCTTTGCTTTGGAATCTGTTTGTAGAGGCTTGCGGACCGTGGCGAATCTGCTTCCGCAAGCTTGCGAATCTGCTGTAAGATTTCTGATAACCCTCGATCGAATTCAATGTTCTTTCCGAGACCATCTATCGTAGCTAGAAGATCGGAAACGATGTCATTCAGTTTTCCCATCAGATTGGCGCTTCTCATGTATATCATCAAAAAAACCCCATTTTTTTCTTTCTGTTTCTTTCAGACAAAATCGACGCCTGACGTACCATAGTTTGGAGACAATTTGTGGTCCAACATTTCTATGATGTAGAGAGAATTTTATGAGGGTTGTTATAATTAACGGGGATGAATGGAAGTATCCGACTAACCAGAAGTTCCTAAAGTAGACTGAAGCACTTCACCAACGCGATCATTCCGACGCAACTGGCGAATATAATCTCCGTTTCGCTGAAGCATCGACTCAATAGTGTCGGCCATCTTGGAAGAATCCTTCCACGTTCTGGTGCTGAGCGAGAGGAGGCCCTGCTGAAAGGCAATCGCCGCCTTGAGAATATTAGGGGTATAACCTTTTCCCATGAGAGATTTTTCAAGGCCCTCGATTAATGCGTTGATAGTTTCATCAGAGTGGGGGGACTGCTGGGCTCGACCAAAAATCTCTTGAATCGCGTCGGGAACCAAGTTTTCCTTGACATGTTTAATCTCCCAGATCGAAGGGGCGCGGCCTATAGAGGCAGGAGGGGGAGTGGATCAGTCAGCATCCAAGTCATACAATATTGAACCGATCAACTTCATCATCATTGACTCCTGCACCTTTCTTAGCTTCTTTAAAGAGCGCATCCACGATTTTGTTTTTGGCGATTGCCACGCGACTTCCGGGGTTAATTTCAGGTGTAACATAGGCAGGTCTATAAAACGCTTCAGGTGTGACATATGGAGCTTCACGAAAGACTGTGATTGCCCTGTCTTCGGGTATGGTGGACAAAGTTTTTGGAATCCCGCATTGTAAAGAGGAGCACAGTGCTAGGTATATGATCACTTGAGCTATCACCCATCGGGGCGGAGACAGTGGCAAACCCATGTTCCCTTGGTTAATCGAAAGATTGGAAAGAGGTTGATGAGGTGCGGACGGGGATAGTGAATCAGTTGTTCCAACCGGCCTCTTTAATAAAGATGTTTTTCCGGCGGCTGTATGTAGTCAGTCAACTTTTCTTGTTGGCTTCTGGAAACCTCGCCAGGTTAAGGATGTACGATTCGAGCCATCGAGCACTTCTAACACCAGATGAGGATCATCCAGTGGAGTCCTAGCTTCTGTTTTAGAGCCTAAATATTGAAACATTCGTTTATGGTGTGACATTGTATGATCTGAGTATTCAGAGTGTACATTGTACTTGAGTACTTGAGAGGCTATGTATGCTCTTGAAGAATCCATTGGAAACTCAATCGGCTCAACACACAAGAATGTTTCCTTCCGGGTTTCTATGATGTCCACACATCAATCCGGCCCCTGAAGCCGTCCAGGGCCAGACCGCAACCTGTGCAGTGGGCCGATAGATCCAAAGATGTTGATTGGAGTTGGTGTTAGTAAATTCAAGGCCGTTTCATTTCATTATGTAGGTTGCGTTTCTTTCATGATTTGTAGTGTACAGTTGCGGACGGCAAAAACCGACCCTGGATTTTGAGGATGTCCGAATGGTCGAGCCGAAAATTCAGATTTTTTTTTGAAATTTTCAGCCTTTTGAGCTGTTTGTAGCCTCCAGATTGTAGAAAAAATACACTAGAATAGAAGATTAACAGTGAAAGTAGATGTCAAGGGTGTACAAGTAGTATAAAGCCATGATTATTTATAACTTAAAGCCATAACTATGGGTTTAAGTATTGCTTAATCTGTGATTGTCCGATTATCTGTATGTGGAAATGAAAAAAAAAATTGAACCGCTCACTCAAAAGCTTAGTGTTTACAATTTTGAACTCTACACATCTGTAGGAGTTCAAAATTGTAATAAAATTAAGTGTCGGGGCACATGCCCCACGGGGCATACAGTTGCGGACGGCAAAAACCGACCCTGGATTTTGAGGATGTCCGAATGGTCGAGCCGAAAATTCAGATTTTTTTTTGAAATTTTCAGCCTTTTGAGCTGTTTGTAGCCTCCAGATTGTAGAAAAAATACACTAGAATAGAAGATTAACAGTGAAAGTAGATGTCAAGGGTGTACAAGTAGTATAAAGCCATGATTATTTATAACTTAAAGCCATAACTATGGGTTTAAGTATTGCTTAATCTGTGATTGTCCGATTATCTGTATGTGGAAATGAAAAAAAAAATTGAACCGCTCACTCAAAAGCTTAGTGTTTACAATTTTGAACTCTACACATCTGTAGGAGTTCAAAATTGTAATAAAATTAAGTGTCGGGGCACATGCCCCACGGGGCATAGGCCCCGCGTGTCCAAATTGGATTTTGCGGGCGGGGCATGGTCGGTCTATGCCATACGCAACTGTATGACACGAGTTTCTCAGGGAAACTATCGGTGAAGTGCATAGCGACAAGACTAGTTGCAACCTGAAGCTCAATGTTTCCACCGAGCAAGTGAAACGCCAAATGGAGTTTCACAACTTTCCAGCCGCGAGCACCACCGGCTAAAATTTACCCTTGGACTGATGAAGTTCTGTTCGGAGGGGTACATATTTTAGATATAGGTTAAAAGGCCCTCGGGACGGGACGGCGCTCGATGAGCTGGACATGATCAAGTTAGGAACTTCCGCCCCTAGACTTTTTTTAGTAAATCTCGAAACAAAAAGCTTGTGACAAGAGGGCAAAACAATTTCAGCAAATCAAAAGTGTCAGCAGCAAAAGTTTCGAGGGAGAACTGATCAATCGGCCAACGGTTATCGGCTCAGAAGCTCTGATCAAGAGTGTCATCTTCTTGAGGGGAGCTGAATAGTTCGATTAGGAGTCCCGGTTGTGGTTCGGGAGGGGCTCATCAGGAATGAGATTTGCAGTCTCTCGAATCTGGGTTCCCCGCAAAACCAAGCTGAGAGAACGCCTGTCGTTCTCAAGGAGATGTGCGCCTGGATCCAATGATAACAAGTGGGCCACAATACATACCATGATAGCAACCTGAAACTCTGGGTTTCTTTAAAATTGGGTTGAGACTTCTGTGGGATCAAGGCAAGATGGAAGTCATATGTATTAGAGAAAAGACAGGGCTTATTATATACATGCTTTTATTTTGACTTTTTTTTTTGAAAGAGACTCGATTTAATTTTCGGTGATCCTCCAAACCCGAACTGATCCATCATCACCGGAACTAGCAAAGAGATGATGGACCCCAGTCCGCCAATCAGTCTGCTCAGGATTAGATGATGATAAGGTGGGGGCTTTGAGTTTACACCAGACAACATCATTGATATCGCTGGTTCCATGCCCCTTCTTACGTTGGGCTAGAAGAACGACGTCCGGTTGGGCCGATGAGCTGTCCAAGCCGGAGACTGGAACACCTTTTGACTGAAGATTGATTCGCAGTGGGTCCAAAAACACACACACAGAATAAGTTTACTTTCTCTCCCTTGAGATTCGTGTCTAGTTAGTCAGCAGAGCAGCTTACAAGTTTGAGCAAATTGATAATCCCATCTCCGCCACAAGTCACGATCATGCCCAGGGATTGTGAATCGGTGTGCTGTGGAAGTTGAGCGAACGTCCAATCGATGGAATATATCGTCCGAGAATGGTATCCAGAAAGCACAGAGATGCAGGTCCATCGTTCCCGTTCACTTCGACCGATTCGCCATCCGCCCGTCAGACCACCGTCTCTTCCTTCGACCCCACCTTGAGGGAGTTTTTCTCGATGCCAGATGCGAATCGAGAGATCGTCTGAGCAGGATGCCAAGAATTCGCCACAGGGCGAGAAGCTGGAATCCCAGACGGTAGATTGGTGACCTTTCAGACGATGTAACAAGGTAAAATCCCCATCGGCTGTCACATCTTCGGCGTAGAGATGAATGTTGTTGTCGTAGGATGTCGAGCATAACAGGTCTTCTACTGGTGACCAACAGACCGATTTGACGTCTTGCTCATGTTCCATTAAGACTGAGATCACTTCGTAGCCTTCATCATCCTGGATCACGTTCTGATGATCCTGCGACTCATTTCCGACCAGGATCTCCCAGATCCATACGCTCTTATCCCGAGAGCAGGTTGCCAATAGGTTTCCGTTCCGGTTCCATGCGACTCCTTTGACTTCGCTCTCATGCCCTTCGAGTGACATCAAACACTCCCAGCTCTCTTCGCCCTCTCCCTCGCCATCAAGGATGGGCGATCCAGCTCTTCCTGGTTCGTCTTCCGAGTCCAGAGCATCGGCTTGATCGAGTCTTCGATCGAAATTGTGATTGGTCCAAATCGACGCTGTCGAGTCAAATGAACCAGAGGCCAAGAGGTCACCCTTGGGAGACCAATCGATCGACCGAACGGTACGAGTATGGGCACTAGGGATCGAATCGATGTACTGGAATTCTAGTTTGGGGGTCTTCGCGTCCAAGGGGTTCGGCCTGAGATGGTATTGATATAGCCTTAATTGCTTGTCCGTTGAAGATGAGGCCAATATGGGACGAGTCAGATGCCAGGCAACGGACCATGCTCGATCGCTATGACCTTTTTTTAGAATGTAATAATGATATAGAAGCAATCAGATTTCTTGTTTTTTTTGTGAATGTAGTAAAATCATCAAAAGGACTGACTGATATACCTTGTAAGACTTGAACTAGCTCTATGTTTGTTTGTTTTCCTTCATCCTGGGCTCCTGTGTGGGTTGAGGCTGGGTTGGATGGACTGGTCGGCTGAGACATGGTGGTCGTTCTTGACCAGCTTGCTGCTGCTGTGCACCCACCAGCCCAGAGAAGAAACACCCAACTCAAATTTGCATATCCATAAAAATAAAGCAAATAATCAAGTCAATCCATCAACGAGCACTTCGGACGAACGAACGAAGATGACGAAAAGAAATAAATACATAGCAATCAGCCTCTCGATGAGATTGACAATGGTTGATGGCAAACGGAGGTTGCATGTAAACTCTGCTAAGCACTTGGCTTGTGGCTCTGAGCTTTAGTAACACCTCATTGTACCAAATTATTAGCTACAAAAGCATAGGAGATAGTTTCTGAAGGATGGATTCCAAAGACTAGTTCACAGTGTAAAATTTTGAATGGAATCCAACTGATTCTTGGAGTAAAAAGTCAAAGAAGAAGAAAAAAGAAAAGAAAGGAAAAGTTTCCAAACCCAATCCAACCCAGGCCTGAGCGTCAAGGACTAGAGGTTGATCATGATCCCTATCCTTCTTATCTTTCACTCTCGAGTCACTTCGACTTGAAGAAGTCTTTGGATATAGGCCTTCAGCAGCCTTCCGCCGTCCTTCAAGCTCCGATCAAGCATGCCATCATCATCATCAACACATTTCTTGTCTCAAGCATATCTGCTGCCCTCTCGCTTCCTGGCTGTTGCCTTATTATAAGGTGGTATACACAAAGATAATTTCATGAAAGGCGTGGGCAGGGGATCTGAAAAGTACAACAAGAATCATTCACAAAAACGTTTACACAAAGGTTTGACAAATCAATGTCATTGGACAAAAAAAAGAAATAATTAGTCGGATATATTTAGATACTATGTATGATTATAAGCGGGGGGGGGGCAAAGGTATGGATATATCGGTGAGGGGAGATCATTCTAATTCAACAAGAAGGAGGGGAACATATGTAAGAAAGTGGATGAGAATGAGCTTTCTGGAGAGTTTCCAAGCAATCTTTTGGCTGGAACGCGTGCGAAGTTGTGCACCTTCCAACAACATCCTCGCCGGGAGAGCTTGAAGTGGCTACCTAAAAACAGCGGTTGGCTCGGTGATGTTCAAAGGTTCTGGAACTTCGACGATCGGAAAGTCGAAGAACTGGTGGACCGAGGTTTGCGAACCTTGCCGTTCAACTCGCTGGGCAACGGGATCCCATGCAAATCCTTCTTGTGCCTCCGACACTCGGAAACTCTTTTGTACGATTTCGTGCACCCAGGAAAATCGCAAAAAACTGGTTTTAGGTTTTTGATGAAAGGTTTTTTTGAGGAGCAAAACGAATCAGTACAGTTGATTAATCAAACGAGAAAGAGAATTGGGGGTGGGGGGAAATCACCTTTCTTGACTTGTGAGTGGGTATCTCTAAGATGAGCTAAAAGGTTGCTTTGACGAGTATGACCCTTGCCGCATTTCGGACAAATGAATATCGGCTTTAAGGCTGAGGGCGCTTGAAAGTTCGCTGATATTGCGTCTGGGTAGAGGGTTGCATTGATGAAATCGTCGAGTTGCGGGATTTGTTGTCGGCCGAATGGCTGGGTCCACGAGTCATGCTGCTGCTGGCGATCTTGCGGCCACGATTGTTGAAGGTGGAGCTGCTGTAAGAGTTGTTGTTGTTGCTGTTGAATATGGTGTTGGAGAGGGTAAAAACTTTCGAGTCCCAGTTGTTCGTCATTGGCCATCGGATTCAGAGCATTCGCTTGGGCGCCCACATTAAACAGGCCGTCGACTGATCCTCCATAGCAATCTTGATTTCCAAAGTCTTTCGCGAAGAGGGTGTTTAGGTTTTGGGAAAACGTCGAAGGTTCATTGAAAGTATTCAGATCGATTGAAGAGTGACACGGGGAGTGGGAGGAGGAGCGTGAATTCAGAGAAGAGGAAGAGGATAAGGAAGGCGAGCTGGATTGAGAAGAATGATTTGAGTCTGTGGAGGATGGATAGGTTGTCAGGGAAGTGTTTCCTTCAACAGGTCGTGCCTTCGACACATCCTCATACTTCAGAAGCTCATTCCCAAAGTTTTCGACTGCGTTGATATTGAAGAATCTCTTGTTGGGATAGCCTTCGGGGCTTTCGATCTTCACCGACTGTGTTGGCTTGGAAGGGCTGGCTGCCGGAGTGCTTCTGGATTGGAGACCCGCCGACAAGTTGATGCCTCCCGAAGGAGAATTATTCTTCGGGAGCGTCTCGCGGACGGGCTTGCAGTCGTTTTGGGAGGGCTGGCTGAAGCTTTCGGCGACTGGAAAGTTAGAAGTTATAAAGTCAAACAAGTCCGAATTGGACTTCCCCAATGTTTCCGAGGATAACGACTGCCCAAGGCCGGGCTCACGTCCAGCGTGAGGCCCAGAAGATTGATTCGGTTCAGCCATCGATCCAAAGAGGTTTGCAAATAACCAATCCTCGTTCATCTGCGGGCAGCTATTGAGCCCCATCCAGGACGGCGGATTCTGAACGGAACGGGCTGAAGTCAAAAAGTCAGTCGATTGACCCAAGCTAGAATTATTGGCGCCCGTGGATGGTGGGGCCCTTCGACCGGCACAGTTAGTGACTTCAGTCGCGGGCTGTCGAGGACGTGCTTCGATGCCACGATCGGCCATGACTGAGCTTGATAGGAAATTGCCAAAGTTTGAAGGTATGGCCATATCCTGCGGATAGATCACACTGCCAGAGTGATGAGCACCAGAGGTTGTCCCAGACGTAGGATACATCGAGTAAGCCGGAGGAATCGGTTCACGGGAATAAGTACCAAGAGCCAAAGAGCCGTGACAAACTGGAAAACGAGCGGGGTGATTGGATTGATTGTTTCGAAAGCCGAATGTAAGAATTAAACAACAGGAAAGAAGATGAGTGACGATGTTTTTACATAAGCTTGATTAATTAAGAGGGGAAAAAAAAATAAGATAGCTCTATGGATCGTCCAGATTTTTTTTTTGAAAAATTATAAAACAAAACTAGAGAATAGCTGAAAAACGATATTATTAGGGATGGTGAAGCGAAGCGAAATATCAAATTTCGACAAAACGAGTTGAGAATATTAGTGGGAAATGTAAAGAACAACGATTAATTGGGGGGAAGGAGGAGAACAAATGATGCCAGGAAGGCTATTGATATATGACACTAATAGGATCGAGTTGGATACATACCATAGTGGGTATGAGGCTGAGCAGAATGTACTTCACCTGTGACGGTTGAGCTGGCATGAGGAGAAAAGAATGGGTATAACGGCTCAGTAAGAGCACTGCGGGCCCATTATTGAGATCCAGAAGCAAAATGTTGTTGTCGAGAAGAATGGAAAAGGATTTCAATTAGCAAATTAGGCAAACCACGTGAAGCGCAAAGAAGGGCTAACGATGAATATGTTTCGGCTGGCTGAACCTCAACCTCCAGCTCTGGGCGGTTGTGATCGTTTTGAATAGGCGACGATAAAGGTGATGATGATGGTATGCCTAAGAGCGATGGATTCGTGGAAAATCGTCCAGTGGCCGATTCTCCTTTAGTCTTGCTTGACAAAGGCAGTACAACACCCTTTGTTGATGTGAATGGGTATGACGGCTTCATCGGGCTGATAAACTTTCGAAGACTATACTTTTGTTTTTGGGGGTAAGTCAAGCCAACCCATTCGACAAAGGAATCCAAGATTAGCCCCTTGAACTTCGTTTCTTTCCCAACCATGAAGAGGTCCTCTTGAAAATTTGACAAGGTTTTGCCCGAGGCCATCGGCATGATGGCTGAAGTGCTTGAAGGCAGAACAACACCCCCCCACACGCCATGCACACCCCCCGGATTGTAATGCATGCGCTTCGGGCCAATTAGTTACGAGTGTGGTGCCTTGAAGAAGTGGTGAGATACATATAAGCAAGTTCCAGCCGGCCATGGTCGACAGGACATGTTGTCCGTTATGATGACCCCCATCATATACACAGGAAGCGAGACGGCCATATTGATAATTTTCGTTTCAGTGGTAAGCTCACTGACAACCACCCATCAGAGCTGGAGAGGCCTTGAGAGGCAAAAAGACGACTCTCTTGATAACAGATAATATAGATCTTGGAGAAGACGAAGAATTGAATGTATCAAGAAAAGGATAAAAGGAGGGATTTACACGAACGATTTTCTTTTTTGGCGGGAAGATAAGTACGTCGTTCAGAGTAACGCGTGTAAACCTCCGCGTTGGTGATAGTGAATTACTGTTATAGGGCCTTTAGTTGGGAGGATGTCTCGACGACAAGCCAAAGGTTTAAGGGAATGGGGAGAGAAAAACTGGGAACCTCTGCTGGGTTGGAATAAATCTCTTTATAGCTTTAGCACATCTCAGTCAAAATCCCTTAATAGCGCAGACCCTTCTTCTTCCATGGGCTCCTCGGCCGCATTGGCCAAAGTTCTTCATCACAAGTATGAGCACAAGTCCATAGCAAGGAGATTGCTTGCAACTGGCCACCGCTATGCATCCCATGAAGACCAAGGATGGAGATAGTGATTTTAGCACATCACAAAATCAAGGTTGCCGCGCACCGTAATGGCCAAGAGACTCGACTCGTCTTCACACCTAGTCAAGCGGAACATGTCAAGACCAGTCCATGCCCAAATATCCTACATATCTCGATAATCCAAGCCAGTCAAATCAAGAATATTTCCCGACCAAGCTCGACAAAGAAACCAAGATATACATATTTATTTAACTGTAGCAAACAGTTGACAACATCTTATGTAACTCACTAAACACTCCGAAACAGACTCTTTCAGCTTTGTCTTCTGGCTGCTCGATTAATTATAACCGACCAGAAATCACTCACCACATGCATGTAGG